GAAAAGCTCAGATCCTCCTCTTTTCTTATGCAATATGAACAGCAGGGCTTAACTTTAGGTATTTACATGCTTTAATCTTTAATTCAATGGGATAAATTTTGTTCTTGATTATGTACATGTAACCACATCAACGCCAATGGAACACACAAGTATGAACAACTTTTGGCCTGTTCAGCCTGAACTGGAAACACCCAACTAAACTCATGCTTTCATTTGTTGTTGTTGATTTTGAAAGGCTTAATGCTGATAATCTACAAACAATACTGCAAACTTGACTGGTAAATTAAAAGAAATTATCTATTGTGTATATCTCAAGTAAACACATAAATGTAAGAATCTATGAAATCCTAAACATTGCCAACTTCAGCTTATGCTATGGAAATCAAAGTCTGAATGTCTACTGCAAGCTATTTTCATAGTTAGACTTGCTCCTCACAAGTTTATTTTCAAAAAATTAATTCTCTTGGGCAGTGGAAAGCAAATTATGTAACTCTCCATTTTCTGCCAATTGTCCAGAGAATGCTGGTAACTCCAGAAGCATTACAGATTTCAATACTAATGTTATTGTAGCATTTGCTTAGAAGTTACATTGCAGTTACTGTTCAAATTAAATACTTTATCAGGGCACTGGGAAGTACAAACATAACAGGCTGAACTTCTGAAACTTGGAAGCAAACAGATGCAACAAGGCCTGGATTTTCATCAAGTTCTTGGCTTACAAACTGAGCAACAGAACCTCCCGCCCTGTGTGTGCTGCTGCTGCCCGTGAGCCGAGTCAGATTCCCTTTGTTTCAGACCACGACATCCGGGCTTATTTCAGCAGTTCTGAGCAACTTCAGCTTCAGCAAAAGTCAGTGAAACTGCTGATGTTAAAAAATGAGCAAAATAAGGACTGACTATTACAATGTAAAATTAGGCTACAGCATCATTAAAGATCCCCACAGAAATTCCACTCCTTTACTGGGGAAAAAAACCCAAAGCCTTCCTTGAAAGGGTACCTGTACAGTCCTTTAGCTAATTCTGTGAAAATAAGAACAGAATATAAGAATAGAGGTAGTGACTCATAACAAAGGTTTAAATAGCCCAGCGTCCTGTCTCCAGCAGTGGCAACAGGAAGCAGCTATGGAAGACAGCATGAGTAGATAAGCATGTAGTGACACTGCCCTGGTGTCCTTCCCAAACCTCCTATAATTTACAGCTCAGAAGTCACCTGAGCTGGAGTTGTTTAATTGGTGTGAGTGGGTTTTTTAAGTCTAGACAGCTGATGAACATGTCCTATAACATGTCCCAGGCTTTTGTCTTCATACTGCTAAGGTTGGACACTTCACTGGGGTGGGCTAGGGCTTTCCCCTGGTCTTTGAACCTGGGTTTTCCTCCTCCTGATACAAAGCTGATGAAACTGCAGGAGGTGCTCCTGTGAACTGAAGTCTCACTTTGTCTTGAAACCAGATGTGGCTGCATCCTGCACCTGAGTCCGCCAGTTAAACAGAGCTATAACGGTCTCCTGACAGCTCCTGAGAGCTGTCAAAATGGCAAAACACCCACCTGCACTCTAAATTGAGGTCCAAGTGCAGATCACAGTTTCTGAGGAGCAATTTGATTTTATTCCGCCAATTCTGATGGCTACTTATTTTTCTTCTACTAAATCCATTCTCCGCTTCTTTCTCCATTTCTCATGAGAGAGTTGAGTAGGATGAAAAAATAATTTCTGCATTTTCACTTTCATCAGAAAAAGGAAGAAGGAAATCCTTTAAACAGGCACCAAAAAGCAATATTTTAATTCTCAGATAAGAAGAAAAAGATTTCTCTAATTTTTGGTAGGATAAACCTTGCTACCTGTGTCTCCCATCCTTATACAAGAAACAGTAGCCCTAAAGAAAGACCTTAGCATCTCCAAATCAAGGCAGTGTTAGGTGAGGGACTATAGTGTACACAGGGATCCTCCTATGTACAAATGCCTAGGAGTGATTCTAGATCTAAAGTGAAACAATTTGGCCTTAAATCCCAGAATGAAATGTAGAAAGAGCTAGAAACTGAGTCTAAATTGACACAACTGAAACTTAGCTTTAGCAGCTATGGAACACTTCTAGCTACGGAAATAAAGTGAATAATAGAAACACTCATGGGACAGTGCTCATTCTATATACTTATGTTTTATGAGTGATTGCGCAGCTCCAGGTCTCCTTGACTTTACTTTTATCCTCCCTTTCATCTCCTTAGATTTCCTACCCAGTACCCTAAAAATTACCATATTCAGATTTATGCTTAAGTCTAATACATTATTTCTGTTGTTTATCCAGACAAAAAAAAAAAAGGGAAAAAGATATTTTTTCCTGCAGATTTTAATAAGACTCTACCAGACACCATGGATACTATTCATAACAGGCTAATAATATGCATATATTTTGGAACCTACTTGTGTATGTGTATACTAGCTTTAAATACTAGCTTTGATATTGCTGTATCTATTAATAACAAATAAATATAGTGTATAAAGAAAAGATAAACACTACTTACTGAAAATAAACATAGCATATAATCCTTATGATTAGGGATAATACCCTTTAAAATATTAAATCAGTTCTTACCTTTTCCCTTGCTAAGTTTGCTACACATCAAACTCCACTGTAAATAGAATCACAGATTCATAGAATCATAGAATTGTCTAGGTTGAAAGGGACCTTTAGTCTAATTTTGTGAGAATACAAAACAAATTGACTACAAGGAGCAAGAAACCTTATTTGAAACACATTAATAGCCCAAACACTATGAAAAGAGGTGGTGGTGGGAAAGCTTTGGGAAAAGAGATTATGCTTATTTGCCTTTTTGTACCGAGGCTGCAGTGAAGTAAACATTCCAGTTGAGCAGCATTCCTCTATATCTTTTCATAGTCTCTGCGGAGACTAAAGTAGAAATCACTTATTTGCGGTTGAGAAAATAGCATGGACTTCTGCATTAAATTTTAAATAAATTCTGCCCACAGGATGATAAGATGCTTAAATCAAATGATGAGACGTTATCCATCTAAGCAATGCATTAGGAGTATAAAATGTGATTCAGCATGCTGTGAACTCTAAACTCTTGTACTCAGCAAAGACATCAGGCCTGTTGTTCTCAAGACTAAATTATGATTTGTTGTAAGTTTTATAATAAAATACAAAGATTACAGTCAATCGTTCACCCTGCAAAATTCATTCCAGCATTTTTTCTAGTTGCTAGACTAGATTTCCAGATTAGCAGAGCTCACTCCATGTGCAGATGGAAAATGGATCATAAAACTGTTCCTTCAATATAAAGGTTAGGCAAATATTTTAATTCTTTTGGACTACCGTTATTGTATGTTTAAGTTACATATTCTGCTAGAAGGTGCTTTCCCTATTAAATCTGTATTGCTGTTAAAGCCTTCATCTCTGAACACTGAAGGATCTCAAGTGTGACAGGGACACGTGGGAGGAATTTTCTGCTCTTCTCTGTGTAAAGGGAGTAGAGAAGACACCCACATTTCTACAGGGCAAAGACCTTCAGTAAGTTCAGAAACGTACTTCCTGGAGAAATGTTGAGTCCTAAAATGTCAGTTTATATCGCTTGTAACTCCCAGATAAGGATGCTATGTCAAACTGCCCTGCACAACTGTATGCTGAACTTACTCCTTTATGAGACCATAACAAAATTTAAGTTATGCCATTGTTATAAAGTTACTCAAATTTATAATGCCCTTAAAGTGTGTTTCTCTGTAGACCTTGTAACAGTATTTGGTCAGTAAGTGAGTCACTTGAATTGCTCAACTGAATACCACCATCACACTGCAATATTTGACAAACTTCTCCTAGTCCTGTAAAGCATTGGTGCCAGTTACGTGAGTCAGCTGTGCTTTTGCTGCATCATCCTCCAGACATACAGCACTACTTGAGAGGATTAAATAACTATAGATCAAATAAATCTTAATTTCAGAATCATCTCCATCTATTTTAAATGCAAGAGAGGTTCTCCGGCCCTTTCTTAAATGGTACCACACTTTAGCTGCAGACATTCCATGTGTTTTGGGGAAATGGCTCCAATATCATAACACTCTCCAGTGCTGCTCTAAACATGCCATAAAAAGGATGAAAAATCTGTACAATAATAAGGCAGATCTTTATAATGTTCAGAAAGTAAAGTCCCTTCTCTTGTGAAACCTAGTCCAAACACAGCCATAAGCTCTAAGTAGAAACAGAACGGGGACTCTGAGGCCTGAGGATATTAATTCCATACAACCTGTGGTAATTTGATTTCTTCTAGTGTATGCTAATATGAAGTCATTTAGAAGACTTAAAAAGGTCTGCTTAGCCTTCAATGAGGTTCCTCATCCCTGACCTAGAGGAATTTATGACAATTAATTAAGATCAGAGAAAAACTAGATTGAAATGGACAGGATTGGGAAAATTTATTACTAATGGCTTTTATTTGCTGGGATCATACAGGAATTGGCAAGAAAGGCCCAAGACAGAATTATTTGATTGCCTCAGAAAGACAGAGAACCAACAACTGTCTTCATTCAACTGTAATGCTGGGGTATTTTTTCATAAACATTTGTATTAAAAACAGTGACAGTATAATAAATCTATTCAGAAAATCTTCTTATGATGGCACTTACTGGCATACTTGATTTAATTATCCTCTTTTACAAATGACTCTTTGTAGAGCAAAGGTGATTCCCTCCCATCTATCTTCCTTTTAGTAACTCCCTAAACCAAACGTAATTCTGAAGAAATACCAAACGTAATTCTGAAGAAATAAAATAAAAAGTGTTCAGGCTCTGACATTGTTCCTGTTCTTAGTGTAGTCAACAAATGCATAGAGGGACTAGAAAATACCTTTAAAGGGCAGCTGCAGGAGACTGAAGATGACTTCACAGAAGGCTTCATCTTCTTGATTGTAGCTTATTAGTGCATTTGTTACCCATAAAAAAATCAAATGGAGGATTTTTTTTCCTGAAGGTACAAATAAAACACATTACTTACTTCTAACAAGCAGCAGAAGAATCATCCATCATCAGGTTAAAACATAATTTCTTAATTATGACGATTATGTTGTTGGTAGTTGACACGGTGACCTGATAGAACAAGAAGTACAAAATGAAACTACCAGCCCATTCCTGAAGTGGGAAAAGAAAAGGAAACAAACTGCCATTTGTTCTCTTCTCAAATGGCTTCCTTATGTTGTACAAAACCCCAAGCAATTGCAGCTGTTGGGAGAAGCTAACGCTACTTTCACTGCTGCCAGTCACACTCCCAGACACCCTTAAGGAAACCCACAAGCCGCACCACTTCATCACTGAGGTTCCTCAAAGTTAGTTCAGCTGTAACTTCAGGAAAATTTACAATAGAAAAGAATTTTCCTCTTGGAGAATCAAATCTCCAGTATACTCCTGCTTCTCATTCCCTCTACCCTGGTCCTTCACTGGTATTTAAATTGGCATTACCTTCCTCTTGGCTAGAAACCACACAGATTTAAAATGTAAAGGCAAAAAACCCCAAATGTAATTTATTGGACAAGCTTGGACAAAGGAAAAAAACATAGAAGAAGTTTTAAAAAGTAGGGTGTGAGTTGGGATGTCCTGGAAAACACAGCAAGGACTGGGCATATCTGAGGTTTCCCTCTACATTCCCGCTGGGACTGAGTAATTCCCGAGGCCACTTTATGGGCTAAACATTGTGGCTGGTCAGGAAATCTGTGTGTGGCTGGGCCAACAGCAGGGTAATTTAGTTGGGGCCTCCATGTGGCAAGAGAATGATGCTGGACAAGACTTTCAGCTCTTGGAGCAGGGTATAAAACAAAGGCAGCACAAGGTAACAGCTGTTGCTTTCCACCCAGTTCTGTTGATATCGGTAGTAGGCAATTCTCTCAATGACAGTAAGAACTCTACTTAATGTTAAAGAGGGTGACATACCAGTCTAATTTAAGTTCTGCAAAATATGGAGAACATCACAATAAAACTGGCTATAATTACAGAAAATAACAGCTCTTTGTAACTGTTCCAAATTGGATACAGATGGAACACGTTAGAGCAAACTAAATTCTTCTATTAAGGAAGTTACTTACTAACTAATATTTCAAGTAATTTTTTAATTCAAAATCATTGATGCTGATGACGTAATATACAAAGTATATGAAGATAGGTTATATCACAGCTGTGGCTGATTTCAGTTTGTTGAACTAAAATGCTGGCACTGATTTTTGAAAACAGTTTGAATGGACACCTAGGATCTTTATCAGAAGAACCTGGCTAATCAAGCCTAGTTCCTTCAACAGTGTCCTCACGAACCATATGTAGTATATATATTGATATACACAGAAGACACATCAACCTGTCATGTCAAGAAAGTACATAAAACTACATGATACCGCATCCTGAATTCTGAAAACAGACTATAATTTCATACGTATTTATTTCAATTTGTGGGGTTTTTTTTGAAAAACAATGATTCTCTGATGTCTACCAAATTACATAAAGAGAATATCCACACTACATTTCTAAAAGAAACCTTGAGAAGTATTCCCCTTTAACACCTGTTAACACAACATTTCCATCTACTCTAGGGCTTTTAAGGTCTAGCTAAATTGAGCTAGCTAAAATACATGCCCTTCCTAGTGGGGACAAGTCCTTGGCACATTTCCCCTCAAAAAAAAGTCAAAGAGAACAAAGAACTAGTAAGATATTCAGTATATGTCGAAGTTCAGCAAATTCAGCCTCTGGCAAACCAAGGTAATAGAAAGCTCTTCTGTGGAGACTTTCTCATTGAGAACATTCTGCCTACAGACAGCCCTTTCACAGCGAAGCCAAAAGGGTTTTTTTTGCACAAGCTCTTTGCATAGTTTCAACTCTTGTGGCATAATACAGTGAAAGTAGTGATCTGAGACCATAAAGCTCCACTCCAACTACAGCTTTAAATGGTAGTACTAGTAATGTTCTGGCACCATCTGATGTTTTTTTGTTTTGCTTGCCTGGGTATAATCTCTAGGCAGCCATGCTTTGTTTAGTCAGTGAAACTAAAGAAGAAAACAAACTACTAAGGTCATAGGCAGCTTGGAAAAAAGAATGTTATCAAAATTAACAAGGTGGGTTTCAAGACTGAATTGTGCATTAGCTAGATTAAACTGGTCACACCACACACAAACACACCACCAGGTGACTCCAAGGGTTATTATAAAGTCAATGCTATAAATTCCACTAGGTAACAAACTAGCAAGTAATGTGATGTGTAAAATGGGAAGATGAACTAGAAATAAGGAAGTATTTCTTGTTTTCTAGACTCAAACGCAGAAGCTCTGCCTTTGAGTGGTTCTTTTTCACAAAGGGGCAACTGAGGTGATTTTTCTATTAAAAATAGTTTAACAGTCTAAAGTTGCAGTGTTGTAAGACACTAGGCCTACTTCAGCCCTACTATAAAAGGATTTTTATATTAAAATCATAAAAAGAAAAAACACACGGGTTTATACTTAGCGGTGAAATAAAAGGAAAAAAAAATATTCAATGAATACTGTAAAGAGTACATGACAAACACAAACCTCATGGTAAAAACGCTATTGCTGCTGCTATATTGCAGATGCTTCGGAAGGAACATGACAATCTCCATGGATCCTTTGAAGTTTTTATGTTAAAGTACAACTGAAGTTATGTACTTCTGTCAGAGAAGCCCAGTGCCAAAGAACATGCCTCGCGCTGAACAACAGATTTACAATTGTCCACAGCTCCTGGAGAATTAATTCCACATTCTTGGATCAGTCCACAGGAAAGCTGTGCCCCATTTAAATAAGCCTTACCCTTAAAAGGTTATCTCAAGTCACAGATTTATTTTTTTTTTAATACATTCTGGCCATGTGGCCCCTTCACGAGAAGAGCCGGGCCCTTGGACTTGACTGGTAAAGCCTCACCGCCGATTTGGACAGGCCAACAACAGAGAAAGGAGGGGGACAAGCACCACAGCGAGAAAAATTAAAAGGTGCCGCGGTGCCAAGTATTTTAGGGGATAGGGTGGTGCCAAGTATTTTAGGGGACAGGGTGGCGCCCTCCCGCCCTCACACAACCCAGAGCGTCCCGCCCTCACCGCACCCTCCGCTCCCACCCAACCGCACCACCACCACCACCACCACCACCACCACCACCACCACCT